TTTATATATATATATATTTTTATATGTTCACCTATTGACCACCGCACCCCCTGATGATATTCAGAAGCACAACATTGATTTAAAGCAGCTGCTGGTAGTATTTTCAAACTGCGACTGCTCACAAGCAGTTTACACATTCGTCAATGCTGCGTCCAAAATGATGACATCAAAAATGCGCTCCCTGTCAGTTGACGGCTATCACACAGTAAAGGAACATTTCTTTGCAGCAGGATGCAGTCAAAGCTGCAAAAGCACTACAGGATAATAGCTGACCCTGAAGGAGTTGAGCAAGTATTGGACATGTATTATTAATCAGTGTGTTTTATGGAAACCTGTTCCAACAGAGGAAAGGAGCAGAGTAATATGCTCCATACAGCACTATTCTTTATTATTCACAACTCCCCTAACAATGTGGCACGGATTGTATTCATCTTTATTTTATGCAAAGGAAAAGTGGAAAATCCTGGCCTGGATTTGATTTTGTGCGAGGACAGTGATGGGTTTGAGCTGCCGGGCTTACTTGTTAATGAGTGTGCAAGGTGGAGAAATCGTGAGAATTACCAACTAATCTTTTTGTGGCTACGTGTTTGTGCTCGACAGAAAAGTATTGCAGGGTGCGCCTAATGTGGTTGTTATCTTTAACTATACATCAGACAAAGGGAGCAGGATTGGAAACCCATGAGATTTACATGTGAGATATTAAAAGATGCCTTTCCTTCAGAAACTGTATATTTAACTGTGAAAGACTGCAGCACTAATCCACATCAGTCTGAAACAATAAACATTTTTCCCAACACTGAGGCATGCACAATTCTGAATGCTGAAAGGAATCTTGTTTGTTTTGACATTTCCAGAGCAAAAAGCACAAGCCCTCTTCCTTGTCTGAGCAGTAATGGCTATTTGCTGTTTATGTAATTTTCCCCCAATTGCAGCACCCCAAAAGTAGCTGCAGTTATTTTAAGTGTCTCTTGATTATAGTATATCACACAGCACGACTTTGCACCTATCAGATTTCTTCAACTTTTCCAGCCCTTACTTAAATTAGACTAGCCATTTAGACAAGGGGATATTACGCAATCTATGATTTCCATCCAAATCTACAGACGAGCAGCAGGCAGCACGAGCTGCAACAATACGACACTACCCCTCATGTGCCTGAACTCTCATCCTGTCCGCTTGAAGCACTGTGGCTTGTAATACACATAAACAGTACAGTCACAATCTCCAGTAGAGAGATGTAAGCAAACTAATGGTGCATTTTTATTTGCTTCTGAAGTATCTGACGCCGGTATGCTAAGCCTCTTGGGACTCTGGTCTAGAGGGAGGTTTTTGTTCTAATCAACACTACAGCCAGCGTAATTGTTAGGTCATTACTATTGAACGACTATCCTATCAACCCTCCTTCAGATATATTATTGGCATTTTCTATTGAGGAGTTTGTAAAGAAAAGTCCTCCATTTGCCCTTTGGCATGCAGTAGTTCAGACCACCACGCAAAGACCAGGGTCACAGCAAGCTCAGTCTTATTCTAGAACAATAACAAAGAAAAGGCCAAAGTTGTTGTGATAATGGTGTTCAGCTGTGTCCTCCAGACGAGCACATTTATCATAAAGAACAATGCTAAGAGTGCATTTTATTACTTTTGGCTTCATTTGTTGAGTTTACTTGTGGATTTGAGAACCACAACTCTGAAAAGTCTTTCCAGGGAATGCTATTACGAGATTACAAAGACGAGACAATCATTAAACATTCATTAAAGCAGATACTGTAATATTGTATCCCAAATGTTAATTTAATGAATTAAAGTTTATCTGGTAAGTCTACATATAACATACATATCTCCGCTCACTACTAATTATCTCCAACAGTAACCATGATTTACATTCTAGCAAATTCATTAGTATGGTCACTCCTAAAGCCTGCACCTCCTTTTGCTCAGTCATTTCAGTCTGATGCTCGTAGTGACTGGAACGAGTTGCAAAAGATGTTAAAACTACCGTTACTCCTCCTTTACTAACTCATTATAAGCTGATAGTTTCTCATCACTGCACCTGCTTTTGAGTTTGCTTCCCGGGAACACAGTGCATAGACCTCTGTTGTTGTGTTCTGTACATACTGTGATGCTTTAACTAACCTAATACTGTTTTCTTGCACCAGCTGTATCTATGTTTTAATTGCTTGTATCAACTTGCCTCCTGTCGCTGCCTCTTGGCCAGCTGGTCACTGTAAATCAGAACTGGTCTCAAGTGACTTAAGGTAAAATAAAAAAATAGAAAATGACTCTACCTGAAAGTGTGTCCAAAACAACATTAGTCATATGGATTCTCTCTGGTATCACGTTATCATAACTTTATCTAGTAAGACCCTAAAAACAAATCCTCTAAACCTCCCAAGGTTCGTACTATGAAGGACAAGGCCCTTTATTATTTTAAGTTGAGAGATTTCTATATTTTGTTTTTGTTTGCTCATTTGGAAAAAGCTGAAGTCACCATTCCTGTCATAATACACTTAATAGTTTACTTCATAGTCAGCAGTAAATTGAGACATTTATGAATCATGAGTCGTTTTGCATGACATTAAAAATGTGACATGACATTAAAAATGTGATTGCATTGTGGGATTGTTAGCAGAAAATAGCACTCACTTTCATGCACCAAGCAAAATTTAGCAATGTTTGAATCAAAAGAACTGCTGTGGAGTTTTTTGATTATGTTGTTCAAACCACACCCACACAGTCCTGATGGAGCAGATCAGATGAGCTTTTTAAACTTTAAACTATTACTATATTTTCGATTGATTGAATTAATCAGATTTTCCTGTCATACACATAAAGTGCCTTACCCTCGTGGGTTTATAAGACACCAAAAATACAGTTGCAGTGATTTGTTTCACTACAAAATGACACATTATAGATTATTATACAGCTCGGTCTTGGAACAAAATATTCTGCCTTCTCTCCCAAGCTTGGTACAAAAAAAATAAAAATAATAAATTGAATATAAATACAATTCCATAAGAGGTATTTTCAAACTTTAAGCTTTGATCGTTGCTTATTTAGCTATGAATATTTAATGTTATTGAGGAAAAACTTTTTAGGGATAGATAGTCTCCACATTGCCTGGCGAGACAACTCGACCAGTCAAATATATCGGATCTTACTTGCTGCATTTTGTAATGTTAATAGTAGTAACAGTGGACAGAAAATAGTAGCTTGTCAAGCTGTGGCACAGAGGAGCTGTCTGGATTTCATGTTACCTTGGAAACAAGTGCTGGTGTTCCAGCAAGTGAATAAGAAAAGGTAAGACTACGTCCAATCCCCTCAACATGTTTGGTATATCCCCTTCATCAATCACCTGCATCAGACTAACACTTACAGTAAATCAGCCAAAACAAGTAATTCAGTGCCAGAGGAAAGCTTTGAAGCAGACGCCTGAGAATGAGGAGGGCCTGCCCACTTTGTCTGAGCCCCAGGCCCTCTGTGGGATAAATCTGAGCATGTCGAAGTCTAACTATTGAAATGCCACTGGGACAAAGTGGCAGACTTTAAAACAATGGTTACGGACTAAACATCTAATTACACAACAGACCATTAGATCAATACCTGCTCTGCTGCCAGAAATGTGTGTTTATTCAGCTTTATGTTAAAGACATCACTGTCTTTCTGAAACAGTTGCATGACTTAGAAAGAGAAAGCACACACAAATGCACCTTTATGAACTGTGCTTTGGAGTCAGTGGAGGATAATGATTTGTTAAATGTTACCACTGATATATTATACCAACACAGACTGCCTTTGAGACAGGGTTATAAAATGGTTTACCTCTTGGGTAATAAAAGTGAAAACCGAATTCTGTGTGTCTGTGTGTGCGTCTGTCACTGCGTGTGTGTGTGTAAGTGTGGCAGGGGTTCACAGGTGTTTTGAGACGAGTTTGAATATATTTCCATTTTTAAGCGAGATCGGTATGCATGAATATTTTTAAATTGGGAACCTGCACAAAAGCCCCTTTCTAGATGAAGCAGTACATGATAAAATGGGTCATGTTCTGTGCCGACGTAGAGCACACATACAAACACAGACAAAAACATAAACACTGTAAATGCTTATTGTGGCTCCATGTTTGTTTACATGCGCCATAAACGCAAAGAAGGACGACAAACTTTGGCTATGATGTACACAGGCACAGACAGGCTTGGCCCCTAGCCGGCTGCTTTGATGTTGAGCTACTTCCTATTGGAACACAACAAATTTGATTTGCTTTATATTTTATGTTACCGTGATTGTATCTTCCTCTTTTTTTTGTTGTGCTCGGGTAATTATCCAGTGATCTCTCAATATCAAGTTAAATACAAATAATGGAAAGTACATGTTTGCTCTGTCAGTCGACTGGCTGTCTATTTTTAGGTTCATTTCTGACAGTGCCATGAGGAAGGGTGTGTGCGAGAGAGAGGAAAACAGAAAGAGATGGACAAACTGTATCCACAGTGACATCAATTCAAGTAAGCCTCTGAACCGTTTAAAGTGAGCAGTGTTGGCTGTTCTCAACCCCATTAGCCATTTTGAAAGATGCAACAGTGCAATTAGGCAGTTGGCACAAAGGGAAGGCGAGGAGGGAACCGGGCAGTTGTCAGGGGGCTTTACTTTGATAACATGCTCACACACAGAGAGAGAGAGTAACCCAGGAAGACCAGACTTTCAAAAAAGCATCATTATACAAAGTCATTCCCCTTTACACTCACATTATGGCGAGAAGGGAAAAAAAAACACAGTAATGAAAAAGGCAACATTTATAACTTTTTCATTTCAGAGAGAGAGAGAAACTGTCTTGATATTGTATCTAAAATAACCATAAATTCGACTAAGTGTTTGTTCAAAAATAAACCTAAAAAAATTAGACCCACGGGAAACAATTCAGTTGGAAGCTACTGAACTAAAATCAAAGCACTATTCTAGTGTAATTACTTAAATATACCTTTCAGCACTGGAGATGGACTGCGTGCTAAAAAGCCCAAAGTTCAAGTTTGTCTTGGCTTTATGAAGAACTTTGCCAAGGAATCCACAGTGTGGACTACGTATAAAATACATCCTTGAGGCGGAGCACCGTAATGATTACTTTGTTGAGGTCTGAAGGAAAAGCTGAAGGACTGGGTCAACCGTCAGCCTTGTCAATCATACAGTTCGTCAAAAAAGAGCCGGGGTCCCTGCATGGCTTTAGTCAGGTGTCTTTGTATGGGTACGGGTGAGAGGTTGAGCTTTTAATTAGGTGAGCAGGTAGGAGAGACTGCCAAAAAGAACAGGAAAGGTTAGGGAAGGCCAGGTACTGGTTTTAGATGAAGGGAGGTCAGGAAAACTAGACAGGAGAACTGTGTGCAGCCCTGCACACTCATTATTTTCTGACGGGGGTTAGTAGCAGATAACTCTGTGCCAAGCTACAGTCGACAGAATGAAAAATTAACACACTTAGGAGCTGCAAGATCTTCGATTACCCCTCTTTTTGGACAACGCTAACTACAGCTATTACATATAGATTGTACTAAAGGATTATATTTATACAGTGTAAAGGGGCATCAGTCTTCAATAATACTGAGTCATGTTTTAAGGAACACATTAAACAGAAATCCTCATTATTCAGATTGAGTTCAAGGACGCAGAATGTCTAAAATACACTGGACACTGAAGTGCTGTGCCTCACATGAACTGTTCTATCGTATATACTGTGCAAAATAAATGATTAAGGTTTGAGGCTCCAGGAGAGGATATTCTTACCCTCAGGAACATACCACAGGGGTTTCAGTACATCTGCAGGTTCAAATTCAAACTCTTCTCAAGATTTATCTTTCAATGATAAAGCAGCAGCAGGAACTCAAGAGCAATTTAAGGATTGAGATAAAAAAAAAGCTTATTTTGAAAAGCTGGGAAAAGGAACCTCCTTATCATGAAGCGGTACAGTAGCTACTACAATTTCTTAATGCTGATGTTTTTGCATCTTATATCAGTATAAATGAAGTGAGGATATGAATGTTGTACACAAGGATACATAAAGAAGCCTGTGCCATGCTCTGAACTAAATGCTAATGTATGCATGCTAACATGAGTAAAGTCCCCTTTACTTTACTGTAGCTACAAGTTTTTATAAATAAAAGGTCACAATTAGACTCCTTGTCTAGATGTTATAGAAATTCTTTGGATGTAGAAAACCTCTTGAAGCCCACTGGTCAGACAGTTTAAACATTCATGGTTCATGGTTCAGGTTAATTTTGCGGAAACCGTGAGCACCAAATTATCAAATGATCACATGGATGATTTGTAATTGATATGTTTTTGACAGCCTAATCTTTATACAATATTTATGCTGGTTTAAATAAACAACTTGATATTATTTCCAATATTTGCTGAGCAAGGAGCTTTGTGCAAAAGGACTTAAAGGCCTGTCCCATATAGAAGCCTGTCTCCAATACAGGCAGGTTGAGTTCAGTGACTGAAGCAAATGAAAGTCTGGGCTAAGTTTTACGGTATAATATATTTACCATGTTAATCATCCTAGTTTAGCATGTATTGGCATGCCTTTTGTTTAAATGTGGTTAATTTGCACTAAACACAACAGCTGAGGTTTATTGTAAAGTCATTAGTTTTGCAGATATTTTCTTATTGTTTTATTATATCAGGGCATCACCAAAGTTAATAGTTGTTGAGACAATTTGCTTGAAACCACAAATATGAACCTTCTGGTGGCCCTAGAGGAAAAGGATTGTTTTAGTGACCACCGAAAATACAAATACTGATATTTTTACATCTCAACAATGGAGAACAATGCATCATTTTGTATTTAAAGCATGAAAACAACAAAAAAAAGAATAATTTTAAAGCCAAATGAAAAGCAAATTTACTAAACTATTATTCTAATATTCTGCGAGGTGTTACCTCTTCACTTTCACTCTGTTCAATCTGTACTCTAATTAGCTAGCTTACTCTGTGTTGTGAAATGTTTTCATCAGTTACAGGTGGACAGGAGGGCTGGGTGGGGTTGTGGTTGTGCCAGAGACTTGTATTGGAGGAAAAAAGAACTGTCGATACCACTGCAATTCTTACTGAGTGCCAATTTAAATCAACAGTCATAGATTGTGCGACTCCCCTTTCAGTGTAATTAATTTAATTTAAGACCCTGTCAGACTTTTTTTTAGGACCTGAGGGTACACCGGGTCGGCGAGATTTACTGTAGGTAGATGTAAAGCAAAAAAATAAAAAAAAAACTGTACAGCAGTTCATCATCGCAGTTTAAGAGATGTGGGTCTAAGTGTTTGTCCCAAGTCACACTTGAACCACAGCAGTCTGCACGCTCAACTGCATCAGAGCAACCCAGCACAAATCAGCTCACTAACAGAAGACAGCAATTTGCCAACTGTTACGCCAAATGAAATGATGATCGTGGGGTTAACAAAAAAACATACTTGGACATAGTTCGACCGGAGTGTTGCCAGGGAAACCAGACATTGCCAACAGCTGCCCGGTAGCTGTAGACACCCAAAAGTCCGAGGGCGAGGGCAACCTTGGACACCCATGAGCACCGTCTTTGAACCAGGAGGTAGATAAGAACCAAACAGAAAGCAGCCAGCAGGGAGAGGACCATCCTGTGCTCAGAGCTGAAAAGAACAGAAAGAAAAACAGTAAAAAACTGACGCTTCTATGTTCTTTGAATTTTTAACTGAAATGAAATTAATTTAAAATACCATTACAATACATATTGCACTATTTCATCACTCTTTATTTTACCTGAAAATAATTAATTCTGTAATTTAATTAGTCAAAAACAGAAAGCCTAAAAGGTTGAAGTAGACTATTTACTGAGCAACAGGGAACATTTTGATGAGATGAAACACTGTCAGTCATATCCTCCAGCAGTAGTTTAAACTTTCAAGAGGCACGGATCTTCAATTGTTCACTGGATTTAAGGCTATCCAGTTTGAAATTCCATGCTGCTGAGCACAGACAGGAAATAAGACCTCAAAGGACATATCAAAGTTGAATAGAAGCCGTGTATTTAGCTGTTAGCTGGATCAGACAGCAGTGGAAGTTGGGTACTTTGAGACAAGATGAGGCGTAACGCTAGCTAGATCTCATTATCCAAGCAACAGACAGAGCAGGTAGGAAGAAAGGGCAACACTGGACAGGGAAAAGGTCAGATTCCACATCTATATTCCACAATGTGATGCATGTTAAAGAACAAACCATAATACCCTGCCCTGTGCTGTTGACAGAATATTAATAGCGCTCAAACAGTCAGTTTTACTGAGAAATCAGTTTTTCTACAGTCTGAGCAATCACAGAAGGCTATTTTCCCTTCTTGAATCTTTAAAAAAAATGTAAGTGGAGGTTCCTGTCAGCTTCTAAGCCAGAAAAACAAACTTAAAAAGGTTTCAGTGTCAGAAGAAAAGCCTTATATAGTGTTAACACCCTATACCCCCCTTGAATATCCGTGATGACCAAATCAGTCACAATTTCCCTTATATTTCACTCAACAAGCCTCGACTGCTCCAGTGGGTTATTTCCTATATTTCCCAAAATGGCTTTCAATATTCCCCAAAGAACAAGAATGAATTTGTTACACTGATCTGTTACTCTTATGTGTAGGTGGAGAGACAAATGGAGATTGAACATCTTGCTGCTGCACTTCATTCTCGCCTACTGAGACTATTGCCTTTTGGTATCTGGACAAAATTGGTATCTCTATCTTTTCATAATGAATTTATCCCTGTGTGACTGCTTTACGTTGCTACTTTAATGGTGACAGAAGTGTATTCACACTGAAACCTCAAGTTTATCAGTTTTTTTTTTGCCCCTCTTACCATCAACTGGAGCTGTGTTGAAAATGAGTTCCTGTAATGTCCTGTCACCTACATGTGCCCAGATATGCACATAAAAAAGAAAAATATACTATACACTATAACACAAGACTAATAGTCCTCAGCTATACTAGCAGCCCCATGTTCATTACAGCCCACATTACGAAAGTGTTGGATAGAACAAACATCACGCTGAAGAGTTTGCTGTTTCTAGGACCTTAACAGTAGTGGAGATAAAAAGTTTGTCTTGAGTAAGAAGAGAAAAAGCCAAATGTTAGTCAGATAAATGTTTGAACTTCAGTATAATCACTATTTAATCCTTCTCTTTTGTATTGTTTTATAAGGGAACAAAGACAAATCACTCAAATCATCGAATCATAATGCTTCCAAGATAATTCTCAATCAGGGAGACAGCTGTTGCTACACTCCCTCTTTGCTTTGCTGCCTTGTGAAAAGGTGCAAACCTCATTGAGTTAAATAAATCTAGTTAACAGAAGCTAGCTGGCTAATGTCTCAGGTCACAACACAGTTTAACTTCATGTATACCAAGTGTTCAACCAGAACTTGGAAAAACTGGTTTTAAATAATGTGCTCCTCAAAAATGGGTTAGAAACAATTAAGATCTCTTTGCTTTTAAAGATTTTAAATATATATTCTCTGGGATTTTGAATGGTACTTATAATGTTTTTTCTTGATGTGTAATGATTTTTTTGGTCCATGCTCATACTGTTTATGTTTTCTTGTGCACAAGTCTCTCTTGAAAAAAGAGATTTTGATCTCAGGAAGACTGCCTGTTTAAATAAAAGATGAAATAAAATAATCTGGCAGCAGTGGCTGCTGAAAGGCTGGGGGCATGTGATTGGGTGACAACACCACTGTCATGACAAATGACAATATGAGTCACTGGCAAAAATGCCAGTGTGAAATAAAAATCAGCCCTTTGAAAAATAGCATTCCAAAATAAGAATTACTATATGATTAAAATATATGAAATAATAGTGATAAAACAACATTTTATAATGTAGAGTTTAGCCATTCTGCAGTTCCAAAGATCAAGAACTTTTTTTTACTGTGTGCGTGATTGATTTTGTCTTGTATAGCACTTAAAGGACCAGTGTGCAGTATTTAGTGGCAAATTGCAGCTTGCAACCATCTGAATACAACTCAGCCTTCCAAGTGTACAGGAGAAACTACGGTGGCCTTGAATCTCGCAAAAAATGTGAAAGGCCCTCTCTAGTACCAGTGTTTGGTTTATCCATTCTGGGCTACTCTAGAAACATGGCGGTTCAACATGGCAGTCACCTCAGTCTGTAGATAAAAACAGCTCATTCTAAGGTAACAAAAACACATTCTTATTTTCAGGTGATACACTAATGAAAAAATACCTATGAATATTATATTCTATTTCTGCTAGTAGATCCTCCTAGATGTTACACACTGGACCTTTAATACAATTTTTTTATCATTTTAGAAGATTGGTATAGCCAACCTGTTAAGCCAATGTCCCACATCAGGAAGATGAGCCCACTGCACCCCGGTCTGGTTGAGGGAGCGCAGCAGTCGGCAGCAGACCAGAGTGAATGGCGGCGTGGCTAATGCAAGCCACTTCTCTGAGCAAATCTCTGCCTTAGGGTGAGCAGTGGGATGACAGTCTTTGGAAGGGAGGATATGCTCTTCTTCATCTCCAGAGCCACGCTGCTCTCGGAAGTACTTGCGGCAGACATCCTGGAAGACGGCGAGGCAGAGGGTGTTGAGCAGAAAGTACCAGGTTTGGTGCTCTTCCTCTACAAAGCTGCTGGCCGCCAAGCTGAGAGTGTGTCCCACTGTGCCAGCCAGCAGCAACACATCCAGCTCTGACAGCGACCACTCACTGCCACTGCTCCTCAATGGAGACTATGAAAGAGAACAAACGTGCAAGAAGCTTTAGAGAAAGGAGTAAAAAAAAAAGAAACATGTCCAAAAGGCACTTTGTGTGGTTACACAGTAGTTTGCAAACAACATTTATACGTTCAGTCTTTTGCTCCTGTCTGTTTTTCTTTTTCTTGGCTGAGTATCTCATAAATCAAATAACATATTTCCATAAGATTTTGCAGACAGATACATTACCATTAAAATTTTTTGAATCACCTGTTATATTGATGTTTTTCTTCTTTCCTTCAAAGGTGGTTAGTTCAATAATGACTAGTTCAGTAATTGCTAGTTTGACATAGACAAAAACAGTAGAATTCAGATAATGTATTATTTTCATCTGAATTAGTTTTGGTCTCACAAGAAGAACAATTAAATGATTAAGACTTCCATATAGTCGATGTTCCACAGTGTTGCATGACGGGGAAAAATACTGTTGTAACCATTTTTTCTGCACAAATACCCTACAATTCTAAATCCAAGACTACGTACACCTCCAGGAGGAGCCCTGCTCCCCAGTTTATGAACCACTGCCCTCGCTCATTATTGAACCACAACAGTGCAGTTGGGCTCTGAATATATTTATATAGAACCTGTTTTTCTGTGTGATTCGTAAGTACATAGTATATTCAGTTAATATTCAGTAGTGCTAACCCTAGACCAAACTTCTATTTCTATTTTGGAAGTTTTAAGAATAGCTTTGCTAAAGTTTTGTCGATTCCAGCTTGTTACGGGCATTATTGTGCCTATTTAAATCTGCACAGATTTTTATTCTAAGCTTCCCATTTATTTTACTAATGACTGGTGTTTCTTTTTTGAATGTTGCTCAGAGAAATATTTGGCTCTTTCTGCCCTTTCAGTTGTCTGTCTGGTTGAACCATTGCATTTTGTTCTCTGTGTAAAAAGGCAGTTTTTTTTGGGAAAACCCTTCATACAAAATAACATCTATTTGTAAAAAGGACTTCTACAATCAAAAAGCATTGAAGACCATTCAAAAATATAGAACAGTCCTCTCAGCCATCTGACTGTAGTGAATCAAGCTTTTGTGGCAGCTGATTCCAAACTTTTGAACAGTAGCGTAGGTCTTGAGCCTAACAGATGATACACATTTGGTCAGGATCCAGATCTGGGAACTCATGTTTGTAGCCCGAAAGAACAAAAGTGACACAGACCGAATTCAAAATCCTTTGCTGTGTCAACAAATCTATTAAGTTAAGATCATTTTATCTTCATACCATTCACAAATGGTTCACAAGAAGCCACTACCACGACCACACAAGCCTGACTAGACAATCTATTTTTCCCTCGCCCACCTCTGTACTGCTCCACTGGCAGATATAATTGTTCAACTCAGTGGGATAATTATTTGGATGAAACTAGTGCTTGGGTGATTCATACCAATATACTTCAATAATGAAAAAAACCTCATCAAGTGACCCATGTACTTCATAATAATACAGTTCAAATTGCAACCACTTACATCTGCTCTATTATCTCACCGAGAAAGCTTCAAACTCAAAGAGAGTCCACTGCTGCAAAACTGTTCACATCCTAATTTTATCAAAGAAACAAACATATTGCTAATATATGAGATCATATTCTTCAGTATGTATAGAGGAATTTTTATTTGCCATAGCTCAACATAAATTGCGGTCAATCACTAATAGACGCTTCCATCACAATCCGTTTGTCAAATCGCATACTTTGTTCAGTGGTGACAGCACATTAACCTTGGCTGGTACAGCAGTACCAGAACAATCAGTGTCCTTTGAGGAAGTTCTGGTAACTACGAGGGTGGGCACTAAAGCAAGAAGACACTGTTAGCTGAACAACAATGGTGGTTTCCAAAGAGGTTAGCATAGATGCTGCAAGCATGAGTTATATCGAACTGAAGAGAATTTCTTCATTGAAAGAAGCAAAAAATTATGCTGAAGGCTTTTCTTGATGGTAAAGATGTGTCTTGTCTTCCGACTGACGTCAGTAAGAGATTTTGTTACATGGGTCGTTGATCTGATTAGTTGTTTGCTCGTGACAGACGGTGATAGACAGATGGTTCATCCAATCACCTGTATAAAGTCTTTGAAAGGGCCTGCCCCTTTCCGACAACATCTTCCCAGGTAGTTCGGTGTAACAAAACATCTGGTGCAATCAGGTTAACAGCACATTGCCATGCAAAGCAAGTTCAAATGAAGTTCAGCCAATCTCTTAGTTCAGCAGCAATATTTTAGCCCAACAAACCAAATACAGACATGAATCTTAGCTTGTGGTCACCTTGAGGACAAAGAGAGGCCGAGCCTGTATGTATGCTATCTGCAGGCTACAGTACCAGTTCACTGTGGGACTGAGCTGTTTCACACTTGTTTTTCCTTTACAGAACTACAGGCTGTTGTGCCCAGCATTCACACATATTCCAGTTTATTTTATACAAAATGCTGGGACATTAAATATTCAGTTCTGGTAGTTGTGTACCGAAAGAACGAAAGAAAGAAATAAAAAATATTACTCAACTGTGGCAAATTTATGATCTACAGCTTCTAGGTTGCATAAATGTTTATACATTATCAGTATCTAGGAATTTTTATGAAACTCCAATCATAATAACGTTTTTTATGAATGTCTCCCAGAATAAATACCCTGTATGTTACTTAAGTCTACCGAAATATAGTTCTCTATCCGACATATATTTCAGGGTTGCGTCAGGATTTTGGTTAAGCAGGGTCTGCCCATTCATTCTGCACCAAAATCCGAGCTACCCTTGCATTACTGAGAAGAGGATTAATGTCTTGTATTCTGGGAACTTCTTTGTTTTTTGAGATAAAACCTGTCATGGCCCAAAGAGAGCTGTAACATGTTTTTCCAGCTCCACTGCTCCCCGTTCAAGTTTCTCTTTCCTCCAGTGGTTGGCAAATTGTGAAATCTCAAACTCAACAATTCCTCATGTTTTCCTTCAATGAGTAAGTCTTTTGCACACTCATTTGTGTTCATGGCATTGTTTCAAAGTAGATTGAATGCAAATATAACAGAAGTATTACTGGGGGGAAAAAAATAATAAGCTTCAACATTTATATAGAATTACTTTCATGACAATTTTACTCTATTTTTCATCTGAATGCCTTAACAATATATCACAAATGTCTGGGTTAAGTTAGCCTTCATCAAATTTAAACAAATAACCACATATATTATAATTATTACGTCATTAAGAGAAATATGAAAAAGCAAAAGTATCAGAAATGTATCAGCTGGACAAAAACAGTGACTGCTTCCTGCACTCACTTCTTTTAAGACCCTAAATGACACTGGAATCAAACCTGGACAGGAGAAAATTATATTCTGGTATTATCAGATTGCAATGCTGCTTCTGACACAGTTGATCCCTCCCTATTGTTGGACAGGTCTAAAAACCCGGGTTTGGTCCTCAGGTACTGTTCCGAACTGGTTCAGGTCCAACTTGCAAGGAATTACTTTATCTCCATTGGCAATCTTGCATCCAAGCAGGTCAGCGTGACTTATGGAGTACCACAAGGATCAATACTTGGCCCACTTTTTGTGCGATCTATACATGCTGTTGCTGAGCCAGATTTTTCAAAAGAATATCATAATTACAACTTATGCTGACAATTAAATTTTATCACGTGACAATAGTAAATGAGTATTTTTCTGTAACTGTCATGGACTCTCAAATAATCCAGCAAATATTCACTTGTAAAACATGAAATTGTTGTTTTTAGACTTTTAGACAGACTAGTGTTAATGTAGTAGTAAACTTTAGAGGTTGGTGGATAAGCTGTTTCCCCCTTGTTTCTAGTCTTTGTGCTAAGCTAAGCTAAGTGGCTTCTGGCTCTATAGCCTTATATTTAGGTATGAGTGGTACTGATCTTCTAAACTATCTCTCCACCGGAAAGTGAATAAATGTCTAAATAAACTATGCCTTTAATTATCAAGAAAGGCTGTTTTACAAATCAAACAGTCAAAGAGAGCTAGGATATGCTCTATGCTATTTGAAAGAGCATATAGAGTAAACCTTATGAGCACCTATAGATTGACAGGTGTGTAGGAGAAGGCTCCCACAAACTTTCCTCTTCACTTTCAGTCAGAGATATATAATAACAACATCTGGGTACACAAAGCTTTAATCAGGGTATTTAAATTCCCTGATGAAGGTCTCTGTACCCTTTTGTTCTGTAAAGAGTATAACTTATTTTCATATTTTCTTTCATATTTTTATATTTTCTCAGCAGCCTCAGGGCTAACATATACAATAGAACATCCATCAATCAAAACTTGAACTGAAGTCTAATGTGCGTACTGTAGGATGGATAAAGGATATTGCTCTTCTGCCCTGTAAATGACCTTCTCTGCATCACGACAAAGCACAGTGAAATGACAGGATGATGACTTATTTGTTTAAAATGTAATCTTTTGCCTTAAAATTATCTGGTACCACCTTTGCATCCATCCAAGTCAATACCACATTTCTATGATTTTAGGCAAAGGTACTATGAAACTGGAAAATCAGTTGCAATATTTCCAGAAATACTTCAACCAATTTTGGGTCTTATATATGTGTATATGATTTATAATATTCTAACGGCAAGTCAGTGAACCCAACTTTCATCATGCAGTTGTGAAACACCTGACTCGGCCCTCTGGACTTTCTAGGTTTCTCATACGAAATAAAGATATTTTCACTCAGGCAAACAAAAGATTATCATTAAACTGTAGGCTCCTTACATACTTTAGTACTTACATACATTCTTTATTTAATAACATTGATAATATTTAATATTGCTGGTATGTTACACTTGGCATTTGTGTTTTCTCCAATTTTCTCTTTGAAATATTCTATAACTTGTCACCTCCTTTATAGACACTACTTTTTAAAAAATAAAGTACTCTCACCTTTAGGTTATTAAAATCCATTCAACTGGAATTCTAATCACATTTTTGTTGGAGTGGTGAGTTAGTAAGAGTGTTTAATCTTCCAGTATTTCAACTCTGTCTCACAGAAAAACTAATCAGGATACTGCTAATAAAGGTTTTGGATGCCGCCCATAATGCAGTCATTTGTCAAGGCAAACCAGGCACAGCTTTGCACTTCCATCCAAACTGATACAAGTGATATATATATATATATATATATATAATATAATATAACAAGACTTTACCTGACTTTAGATAATTTGTTTCCCTATCCATCTTTCATTTTGGAGCTGTGTTACACAATTTTTTTTACTTTTTTCTCCTTAATGGCAACTCAAGCTGTATTTTGTAAATTGAAAGGTTCCTGAAAACTGTCCAGAAAGATGCCAATTTGGCAAAAGCAGAAAAAGACTTTAGAAAAATCACAGAGGACTTCCTGCAAATTCATTACCAGTACTAATATAGTGTTATAATAAAACAGCTTCATTATCTAATCTCAATATCAAAATGAGCTTGTCAGTCATGACTAAGAGGACACAGAATCTACTAATTGCATTTCCTCACACAGGTTATTACAGAGATAAAGATTTTGGCCATGAAGATGGGCCATGATTGTAAATGTTTAATCATTACAGTATATAAAATAAATACATATACTACTTTCAAAGTGATCAATAAGATTGTAAAATCGATTCCAACATCAACTGCAAGTCAATGTAAGGAAGTTGAAATTGCTACTGTAGTTTTACTGTACATGATGCCTCTAAGACTATAATGTGAGGATCTGCAGCAGGATTCAGAACTAAATGAACACAGCTTTTATATCTGAAGACAGATTATAGCTGTAGACTTTATTATCCATAAATATATACTGTTATGACCTTTTATAGCCTGTATCATATAAATTGTGTGGCTGGAACGGTCTGCCTGTCAGGATTCAGCACTGTGATCCTTCTGTATGATTTTTTTATAAATTAATTTAAGATATAGTCCCATGTGTTTATATCTTTACTTTCTTGACACAAATCATTTAATAACACACAGACAGTAGTGCTGAAACACTGTTATTTTTTATTTACTTTTTTAAGACTTTAAAAGACTCACCCTACCAGGTGAGTTACCGTGCACCCCGAAACACCACTATTTTGATAATTGATTGTTCACATAAGTCATTTATCAGCTTCTAGTTCCAGCTTCTAAAATGTGAAGATTTGATACTATTCTTTATGTCATTGTGAATTGAATATCTTTGGCTTTTGGTGTGTGTATTTTGTTCTCTGACATTTTCTTAGCCAGTTAATAAAACATATAAAATACAATCACTATACCTACGTTATGTATTTTGTTGAGTTGTGTACTTTATTATCATTATCCCAAACAATGTTCAAACCCGGAGAAAAGTGTATATTGGTAACGGTGCATTTCACCAGTTGCCTGTCAATGGCGTCATATCCCCTTTGTGTGGCTGTCTGCCAGAAGCTGTCATAAATTTACTTTTTATCCAGTTTTAGAACAATTTTTTACAATACACTTTTTAGATTTTGGTTGTTTAATAACTACATATTGTAAATGGATAAAGGATTTTAGTCATTGGACGTTGTTGAAGTTATCAGAGAGACAAGCTGAGTTCATGTTAACAACAGCTTGGCCTTGGCAGGCCATATTGGACGTCCTTTGTCCACCAAACGGCGATGGAGAAGCAGTGATTTTTAAGGTGAAACCCAGTAAAAGCGATGAATGCTGAAGGAATCCTAACTAGGAGAAGCTGACTGCAATGATGGCAGTGGTGGTGAAGACAACAACTCCCATTATCCCACACTACTTCAGAACATCATCAAACGTCTTTTGTTATTGCATTTATGTTATTGTATTAAAGTATTTTAAACCACTTTTAGTTGCAGTCATAACTAACAATAAATCATTTATTTCCCTTCATTTTGTGGTTGTGTTATTCACAGAAGACACAGACATAAGGGTGTACTCAAAATCTTTCTAGATAGGTCAAATTTTTGGCTGCCAACTGAGCTATGTGAAAATTTTTTTGACATTTGTGCAACATTCATACTCAAAGAAAATATTCTTTTTTTCAAGGAGGCCGAAGTCATAGAAAAATCTACAGCACATTTCCTCCACATGCTCCAGTGTAAAGATTTGGGAGTTTATTTTTTCCCCCAACCTAATGGCCCGATTGGAATACTTCTGACTTTTTTCTTTTTTGTTGTATCAGCACTTTCTCAAAGTTGCCACAAGGGAAATGAGATGTAACCTTTACAGATAAATTATAATGAGCAAAGAGATGCAGTAGTAAAGAGGACTCATCTTTTAGGCCAATTTAGACAAACACTTAAGACTGAAAGCTTCCACCTTCTGAATAACTACTCCCACTATCTCTGATTGATTGCTCACATTTAGAAGAGCAATCTACACATTGCTGGCAATTACTTTTATTTGTTGACGTAAATTTCAACATAGCTATTATATAGAGAGGCAAAATAGTATGAACAATTATTTCTAAGCTCCTGTATACCGTTGTCTCCTCTGGGTTTTTTTCCCTATTTTAATTTTTGACTGTTGAATCTGTTTGTTCATCCACTTTGTAGGTTTAATGAATGATTCCTTTCCACAGATGTGTATGTAGATAGGATTTATTGAAGGATGGTCACATTAGACTGCATTTCTTTCAGCTGGGTGTACCTAATAAACTGGTAACTATGCCTGTGTGTCTGCAGAACCCTGTAACTATTTTCCTTATGTGCCAAGTAAACAACTTTCACTGGAAGTGACTGGACGCCATGGAAACATCATATCCAGCTCTCTTAATATATCCATGCTGCACTGATATAACACTTTATGCTGAACAGCACATCTATTGCATTTTCGAACATGAATTTATAGGGCAGCTAACAGTCAAAGTTGATAGGACAGTTTTCACTTTGCTCATCATACCACACTGGGGCAACCCTCCATTGGCAATAAAAATGCAAAAACAAAATGTTCTCAATTATCTCAATTCTGGTGGACTGGAACATTTCTGATATGAGTGCAATGATTGTGGGGTTATAAAGTCATGTTAAAAATAGTACTATACATATGCTATGTAAAATGATGGATTATGTTATGCATTGATGCTGCAGTGTGTTTCAGAAATGTGACCTGATTTTAATGAATTTTGAAACAATGGGAGCCTGTGAGTTCTGGGACATACTGCAGAGTCAACCTACAGCAGAAGAGACTGTAGCAGCTTCTGTAACACATTCATGTTCCCTTTGTTTTAGCGATGTGCCAATATGATAGTCAGTGTCTGTATCGTTCTGATACTGGCCAAAATCACTGGAAAAAAGTATAATCAGATACGATTCATTAGCCTAAGCTATCATGTAAATGCTTCACTAAACTTTGAGTGACATGCCATCAAGAAAGAGGACACAGATGAGCAACATGTGTCACATGAACAGTAACTAGAACGTGAGTGAGACCTGCAGCGCTGTCATCATGTCAGCTGGGTGGAGTTACCTTAATCTCGTCTAATAAAAAAAACTTAACATCTAAGTGCAGTTTATGCAACTTATTTTACTCATTTTGAATCTTTGAATGGGACTGTGTGTAAAGGTTTAAATTAAAATACGTATTGAGTATTGAGTCATATTTCTTCCTTGATGGGACTAAAATATTTATTTCACAGTTTGCTCATGATGTTTTGTAGATGGCTACGTTAGGCACAGTGCATCCAAACAACTGTATTAACAGTTTAGTGGTTTAGTCAAGGTTGCAGCATCGGTATCGGACATGATGGTGAGGCTGGAGTGGTATTGAGCCATCCCTGCTTTGTTGTGCTGTTGGCATTACTAGTTCAACTCTGGAGTTTAAAAAAATACTGTCTGAATTTATTTTTTAGTACTCCCACAGTTACTGCATTAAAAAGATGATCATTCATTTTAAGTGTCAACGTTAAACAATATCTTTTTTTATGTGTCAATATATTTAAAGTTATTTTACTGCATTAAAATGTCAACATTAAAGCGACCCCCTACTTATTACAATTTCCCTTTGCAATACTGTAGAATAATTAAGGAGAAACTAAAGGGGCTCTTTGCAATTCTCCATGAAAAACATGTGACAAGGTGTGCATTCAGCCAAGCACTGTTTGATTAATATAAATGGTGCCCAAATCTCAAATCGACTAACTCGCTACTAAATCTACTAAAACTTTTTCTCAGGTCTTTGTTTCACAGTACAGGAACATTCAAGTGATTTAAAGCTGCATTAGTAAAGACTTTGCTAACTTAGCTAAATCAAAAAGTGGGGGTACAATAGACAAGACCGTGCCATCCCCCCTGAGCCTCAGTGGATTTAGTAGATTTTCTCTCAAATAAATTCTGATAGTCTCAACGGTAATGTTTCTCTACCCGCAGGAAGTGAAAAATTAAAACATAAGAAGAGAAAAATATATCTTTTAAACTGCAGCACTGCATTCGCAAACATTCATTACTTTTCCTTTCGATATTGTTTGTAAAGCGAACACAAACACACACAAACTGAACTGGTTAACAAGTTAGGTTGCATATTGATGTTTAAAATGCAGCTTATGCACATAGGTAAAGCACACATGTGAGGGCAAACATCTGCTACAATCTGTACCCTGTGTTTGGGTGTTATATTTAGGTGCACAAGCTCACCTTCCCGTGAATCTTTGGTCCCAGGGGGAGTCGGCGTGTTGCCATAGAGACCAGAATACAAAACATTGCTGAGGAGAAGACAACAGCAGCAAACACGAGACCCCAGGAGAGGCTGCAGAAGTAACAGGAGCTCTCAGCAGATGTGCACACCAAGACGTGCACCGAGGCGAGCAGCAGGCACAGGAGGTAGAAAGGCAGGGAGAGCAGGACTGAGAGGACTGGGAGGTCCACCGCTGCTTCACCACTGAGGGCTTCAGGCATAGCCAGCAGTAAGACCAACAGAAGCTTAAGGGCCAGGACAGAGGGAGAAAAAGTTTTAAGGACATTTTGTTCAACTGATGCAACCATAGAAACCTACAGTAATATGGCTTTAGCAATATATTTGAACAGTGGAGACCATACCATGAAAATATAATGCATATAGAGCATGCTTATTTTAATTAAGACAAGACAATGGACATTAATTAACATAAGCATTTGGTTCTGTTATATAAATGTGCCAGATTAAGCCATACAGGCTAACTTTCATCTGCAGTCTCTCGCAGGTTTGATAACATATAAAAACCATTATAAGAAAACATACAGGAGCACAAAAGCACAGGCAAATAGTAAAACAATGACATAATCTCTACTTCAGATTATGACAGCATGTTTGATGATTGTCCAGCAACCACTGATTTATAGATCTGGAGAAGGAGTTGAGAGATGTGATATTCCTTATTTCTGTGGGTATAGTGCTCCAGGCGCTGCTCGAAAAGGCTGACTGTCCTAAGGTAGGCTTTTCTATATAGAATTTTACAGTAGCTCATCTAACAGTAGCTCTGTTAGATGAGTTTTTGATTTTGTTTACTGAATTCATTGAGTGGAAGGGGATCTGTCAGTACATGTTTCAAGTTATGTTTGTAGCCAATACACCTTTTAGCTTTCGTGTGGCAATTATACTTTTTAGACTTTAGTTTTAATTTTGTTCGTACACACCAGTCTATTAGTCTTTAGGGTCTTTAGGGTGGGTGAAAATCTTCTGTACTTACCTGAAACACAAACACCATGCCTGCGATCATGGAGTACATGTCGTATTTGCCCAGCTGTTTGCTGAGGGCCGAGCTCATGGCAGCCAGGGCCTCCAGATACTGCTTCAGGACCTTTTTGCCCATGTTGGTCAGCACTTCAGAGGTGTTGCCCTCCAGGTAGAGCTTCATCCAGCTTCCATGAGCCTTTTCTGCCACTCGGAACTGCTCAAAGCCTGCCTCTGGATCGAAGAGAAGTCGGGAAGGGGGCACCGGTATCAACAACTGACATGTTTATATAGTGCAGCTTTAGAGTGACCATTAATCAGGGATTGCTTGACACTGATGTCTATCGTCAGGTACTCAAAGACTTGGCATTATTGTGCCGTGAAATGTTGTAAAACTTCTTGTCGGTACCGTAGCAGCTATTGCATTCATATAGATTTGTCAAAACGAGGAGGACGTTTGCAGCATCTCATTAATAACCTCTATGGGTTTTCTGATGCGGTGTCGCATTCGTTTTTAGTCCATTTATTTATCACCCAATACCCTTGATGAATCGGGACAATTAAACTTATTTATGAAACCAAACAATCTGTGCTTTCCAATTATGTAACTTCAACCTCTATTAGCAGACTGCCTTCAAACTGAATGCAATACTTTCAGTGTTATAATAGAGCACTGTTGTCAACCGGTGGCATTATGTTCTTGTGTTCTTGTCACCATATTGTGACACATTAACAACGTTACAGCCATGGTTGGATGCTATGCTATGACTGTATGGAGTTAGAACCACTAGCAAAAATGTCTATTTTTTACTGTTAGCTGATTTAAAAACACACTGAACCATGAAAAAAAGTAAAGAAAAGTTAAGGTAGTCTGGAGTACTCTGTCTCACTTTGGAAAAAAGCCTCAGACTGCTGCCTATCCTGTTATATTTCTCCATAAAGAAAATACAGGCATTTTCTATCCATTTGTTTCCTTATGAATGAGAGTTCACTAATCCTATTTATGGTGACATCAATCACTCCGATGCACGTTGGATGTTATGAATGGGAAATCTATTAAATTTCAGTATTTTCCTTTTCTGTTTCCTGTGTCAATAATGTTCCTTAAACTGAAAACATAATGTGCCTGTGGTAAAAACCATCTAGTCCTGAAAAAAAGAAAGAAAATGAAAGTATAATTTGTCAGGATTCAAATGATGACAAGCTATGACTCATTCACATGTTTACTCAAAGCAGATGAAATGATGCCCGTTCTCATTTTACATGTGTGCTTTAGGAGCCTGTTCAAGGACAAAGCAATGTGGAGGTTTGATTTGTGGTACACATCAATGAAACAAACAAACACACACACACTCCTAAAAACAATATTTTGTAGTATAACACCTATCTCAGCAGCATAGGCATAGGGGTGATAAATAGTGACTGTGGCTCTGCCAGACAGAAGGGTTGGTAGAAATATTAGAACCTTAAGCCACAGGCATGAATCATACAATATCGATGGCCCTGGCCATGTTTCATCTGTCTAAAAGTACAGGGATTGGTTAATGGCCCTCCAAGATGCCTGAGGTTAGAAGCACAAGAAAAACATAATATGAAGATTGATACAAGGCAGACAGTGATGGATTTAAAAATTAGTGTTATAAGGAATTTCAAAATGTGCTAGTCCCCTTCCTGTGTAAAGTTTTTATATTTTAAGTGTCTCAAAAAGAATTAACTAAATGAAAAATGTGTTAGCTGGTTGAACGTTATGTATAAAATACCAAGGTTGAGAACATGAGTAAATGCTACATCTCAATCCCCTTTAACCTGGTTTAAGGAAGCAAGGAGGCTCTCTGCTTATTTTCCTATGTTGGGGACTTACTGATAGGATTTCATATTTTGATTTGCGTTTTTGATTTGATATTTCAGACATACATATATATATATATATATATACACCAAGTCTAAAGGTAACATAGATAAATGGAAGATGGAAGATGCAAGGGAGGTAGACTTGTAATTATTATTATTAGTATTATTAGTATTATTAATTATTTTAATTATACATTATTTAACATCATTTAAGTGATGTCCTTTGTAGTGGACATCAGGTCAATCCCCAAAAAGTACTTCAACCTCTCCTTTGTAGATCTTCCAGAGGTCTGCCGATCTCTTGTGGTAAAATGAAAATACAAAAAATCTTAATATAATATAGTTAAGAATCTCATAAATAAAAGAAAACCTCCTTAAGAAGAACAAAGTGTTTTTTTTATAAATTTGAGCACTTCACATCTCACTTAATGCCAAAAATAGGTTTGCTAAAAGTCCTGCTGTTTTAAAAAGACAGACGTGCTCTGTCACTGTGATTATAGTAAGGGATTAAAACCAACAAGTAAAACAGTATTAAAATAAAGTTGTTATTATTAAAAAAGAAACAAGAAAGACAGAGAATGTGGCAGAACAAGGTTACTTAAACCTTTTATCACCAGTTGAGTTGAACATTTAAAATGTTGCTTTCATGTTTTTCAGGTTATTCTTACTTTGGGACAAAGATAAGTAATTGCATAAACTTTTATTTATTTTTTTACACTGCACAATAGTGATAAAATCATAAAATATCCAGTTAGAGTGACACACTCAAGCTAAGAGTGCTCAGCATTGTAAATGTTTTTCTTTAAATGATTTTTCAATCGAAGGACTTTTGTTCCCCTGATGAATCCTATTTAAATACTGAAATCAGCAGCATTTCTCTTCAGACAGAAGGCTGCTTTCTTTTATGCAACTTCCTTCACACCCAGTAAGATCTGACCCCAACAGGTGTCCAACAGGCATGCTACTTAAAATATCATCCCAGACGAATTTCCCAGCAGTGACAACTATTACTTTCCACTGCATAACAGCCTCATGATTACCCAAGTGGACGAATTCAAAAAAATCAACACATCCAAATGTAGGTCTGCTGAAATAATTTCCATTTCATCCCATCACTATGGAAACCAGGGACCAAAATAGAGTAGAAAATGTGCTGCCAGAGTGGTAAGTTTTTTAATGTGAAAGGATGTAGTTTGTTTTGAGAATGCAATATTTACCACGTAAGTTTGTGTGTGTTTTCTTTTACACAGCATACTGTACGTTTGTCTTACAACTCAACTTAAGACACGCAAGACAACATGCAGTGTTACTGTCATCATGCTATTATAAAACTTGGGACAATATATAAATCTGTGTGGGCCCAAAAACAATGTGTTAAAAGACAAAAGACATATTACTAAAATGTATGGTTTGGTGAATAAAGTCAAAATGAAAAGTTGCTACGTTTTAATAAGAGTCTACATTCAGCTAGCAGCTCAGTCATTTGAGCTAAATGCTAATGTTAGCATGCTGACATTCTAACATACAGATGCTAAGCAGGTAAAATATTTACATTGTTTACCATCTTAGTTTAGCATGTTCACATGTTAACATTTCGTTACTAGCACTACAGTGGAGGTTTCGCAGGTATTTAGTTATAAACCAAAGTGTTGGATTGATTGATTACAATAAACCCTGAGACTGATATGTTTTTCTATTTTGGGCCTTTTTATGGCCTGTAATTCATAGTGACAGCTGAAGAGTTATAGGGAAGAGGGTAGAGAGAGAGAGTGAGAGAGGATGATACACAGCAAAGGGCCAAAGGTCAGACTCGAACCCATGGATGCTGCAAAAGGTACATGGGGCGCCAGCTCCAGGTAAGCTACCAGTCGACCCCTAACTTGTAAAAAACATTTTGTTCTAGATTTAATTGGAATCCATCCAATTGTTAAGACATTTCATTAAAAGCCACAAATACAAACAAACAGTATTCAAACAGGAACCATGAATGTCTGTACAACATTTCATTGCAATCCATCCAATAGTTGTTGAGCTATTTCAGTCAGGACCAAAGTGCTGACACTATCATCCATAGAGCCATGCTGCAGGAATGGCTGAAAAATGAGTGTACATTCCTGTTCGGAAGAGGCTCCTTCATACCAACTATTTCTTCCACGTGGCGACCAATCTATCCATCTCCCATCCCAGCCATTTATTTACAGGAGGCTTAACCCCATTTTAAAAAACAAATGTACAGCATGAGTTAATCTTACAAGTTCTCAAGTTAATACTAGTTATTCTAAGAAGTTAATCTTCTTACAGGTCCAGGGTAATTATTTTAAATCAGTCCTCTAATGTTTGCTATGGACTTGTTATTTCCTTATGACCAGATTTGCTGTAGCTGTTTTTGTGTCTTTTTCTGTGTTCAGAAAAAAAGAAATATCGGGTGGCTGTGGGCCTGTAAGCAACCTTGGCACCACCACCTATCTATTTGGTTGTATTTTTTAAAGTTTGCCATGTTCAACAGATTCAGTGCAAAAAAAAAAACATTCAGGTTTAGGAAAAACAGCTTTTTTTGGTCAAAGATTATTTTAAATTGAATGCCAAAAATGTCCAAAAACTTGCCAAACAAGCCAGTTATCAAAGAGTTTTCTCCCTGCATCCTTTCCTCTGTCTCACTTAAAATGATAAGATAAATTACTTCCGACTGATCAAACATTAGCAATGGTAATTGATGCCACTGGTGTATCAAATGTTTGTGAAAGTGAAGGACAGCAACAGAGAGACAGACAGAGAGGGAGACAGATAAGAGGCGTGGGGGGGAAGAGGCTGCAAGATGGATAACTCTGACAAACAGTGTGACCCCGAGCTATAAGTAGGGAGCAAAACTCAGTGAGGATATGTGCATGCATTTGCACAAAGAGTGGGCAGCATTAATGTTCAAGAACAGACCACAGACTGTCTGTGATTCTCCCACGTGGAATTTTCACCGTTGTCAGGTCATTTATTCACAGACTTAAAGAAACAAGACTTTCCCACTAAGGGTTTAACACTTACACCCTGACATGACAGGAGCCACCATGTTCAGAACAGGTTTGCCAGTTTCTCACTCAGATATGTGGTTTCTGGTGGAGCCAAGTTCAGTCTTTCTCTTCATAAACCTGCTCTTGGTCAGTATTTATGGCAGCTTTTAGTACCCTACTTCCTTCAAATGCATCCTGGATTCATCAGTGATAACAAAAAAAATAAAAATAAAAAAACTACAAACATACGGTAAGCAGAAACATTTGGAGAATTATCTAACTGCAAGATGACATCTGCCAACCACCATTAAAGGCCATTAACCAAAATAAAACCACGTGTTTTAATGGATTTATCTTCATCTGCAACATGCTGAAATCTAATTTTCCAAAATCTATAATTTTTTTAATAAAAATTCCAGTGCTGATGAGCTTCGGTGTGATGAATCTTTAGAACTTGTAAGATGACTCTACCCTCGTCTTAATCAGACTGCTTCAGGTTAAACGCTGTGAGAAGCTGCTTTGATGTAGTCGTCAACATGGTGTGAATAATGAAGAGATGGACGTCTGTTTACAGAAAACCATTTCTGAGTTAAATTAAGTCTGTTCCATCTGTGTGTCTTCAGTGAAAACACTACATGCACAAAACTGTGAGTGGAATGCAAATAAAACAATCATCTAAATAAGATCTTATAGTCTGAGCTGGCATATGTTATCTCAATAACTTATGTGGAGTATTCAGATTGTTTATGCCCACCTGGGGGCAACAGCATTATCTTGGATCATGTTACAGATTTGTGTTACACGCCGGACCTTTAAAGTAGCTAAAATACTCTGTAGAGCTGAGGGGAACTACAGTGTCGGATGATCACATATTCATTTGACCCATTGTCAATACAAAAATACTGACTGGTGCACAACATGAGAGGCAGGTGACAGAACTCATGTTAAAGTGCTTATTTCTGAATAATAACCCTGCTGGTGTCAGTTATTGGAATTTTGAAGAAAGATGTGAGGGAAAAACATACTGCCTGTGCTCGACATTGCATGTTATTTTTGGGAGTTTTGATAAAATGGCCCTATTACCTTCAATAGTTTGGGAGAAAGTACTGACTCACTGTGTGTTTGGTAGTTCCTCTAACTTAAATAGAGTTTAGACTGACATAGGGGTAAAGGGAAAAAATGACTGCATTTTCATTTTGGAATGAACTTTTCTTTAAACTGCACTGTTTTCTTACTAATGGGAATAGTCACTTTGCTGTGTGTGGAAAATGTAGCTACTGATACTATCATCAGTCTGGAAACACTACAGCATAATGATGAGAAACTCTGTCAGACAAGGTCCTGGCTTTCCAGGCTATTAACGAGTCCAGAAGTTGGACACAGTGAATTTGTAACCCACCTTTCTCATAGTCGGGCATGCTGTCTTTGAGCAGACAGCTGAGCTGGTGGCCATTGAGATGCAGGAAGCGCAGCTGATCTCGGAGTGAGCTTTCCTCCAGAACACCGGGGATGACGTGGCCCACGCTGTTTTGAGATATGGGCAGACCGAGTCCCAGTGCCAGGGTCGGAGTCAGGTCAACCTGCTCTACAACTTCAGGCTTCTCCAGTCCCACTGATATCACAGGGCAAAAGCACACACAATCAAAACAGTTAGGAGCGAGTACACCTGCAAAACATGATGGGGAAATAATGACACATAAATTAAATTTCTTAGCATTTTTCATTTTTCATATTTTGGTGGTATCTTTGCTTTGCTGTGTTATTTTTTAACCTTCACTTGTCAATCAGTGTGTCTAGTACTGTGATGTATTTTCTGTTGATAGATTTAAAAAAGGAACCTGTTCAACCTGAGTGCACTAACTAACAGGCTCTTCTTCTTTTCATTCCAGATATACTTTAACGTTAAAATGCACCATCTTTTGTGTGCCGGGGGGATTTTTCTCTTAAAAACCTGCAGTGTCAGACACAGAAAATGGAAAAGCTTTCAAAAACTAAGCAATTGTTGAATCACAATTGTGTTACATCAATCAGCGATATCAGGGAGAAAAATGGATATTTATTTATAAGAACACAAGTCACATTTTATTACTTCAAACTCTAAGGCAATCCACAGACAAAAACAATTTACACGATGGGCATGAGGAAATGGCTCAATTTTCATACTGTCTGCTGTGGAAGATTCCTCTGTTAACACAATAAGAGCTTGTCTGAAATAATTTCACAACATTCATGAAGATAAATTTGAAAAAAGAAGGTCATTCTCCTAGAGTCATAAACCTGACACAAACACTAACAGGGAAAGATCCAGCGCCTCTGTGTTATTTGGAAGTCAGTGATTATGTAGAATATATTTCCTGCAGCTTCTTTGTCCCCTCAGGACAGTCAAGCTGCGGCCAAAGGAAAACAGCGAGAGTGTGGTGGGGAACATCGGGAACCTTTCACCACCGCTGACTCTCATTTTAAATAGTAAGGCAAAGTGGATTAGTGACACCTTGTTAGTGGCAATATTTAATTTGAATTCTAACATCGAAAAAACCTGACTCTGAACACAAAAGCATCACAAACAACCCTGATTATTACTCTTGTATTAATGCCAAAGGGTATGACCATGGGGAGGGTTGCTGCGAAGTGCAAAACATCTCCCCCAAAAAAAGATGAATGAATGAATAAATCATTATCATGTGAAATGTTGTTTTCATTTTTCAAAGCGTGCCTCCTTGTCAAAAGTGAACAGACATTTTTATGTTGACACCCGGCTTCCTGTAGACAGCTTTCAAAAATACAAACAAGAGAGTGGAAGGCATTTCCCAAATTGTCTGTGTCTAAGTGAGGTTGCAATAATGAACTATACTGCTGTATAATATATCCAAAAACTGAACAACACAGCTCATATGTGTGTGGAAGTGAGACAGCTGCAGACAAAAGACTGGGACAAACCCCAGGGCTATGAGCTAATTTGGTAATTGGACACAATGAAATAAGCCTGGGAATTATCCATTTTATATTAAAAGGAGACGGATTTGCAACAAGACAAGGACTTTGCTGTATTAAGCCCATAGCCATTCAGGATAATGCCATAAATCCACCAAGTATATGAGACTTGTATAAATCTCTTGCTTTGCAATGAATAATCAAAAATGTTTAAGTTATGGTTTGAGTTGCAGCAATTACACTAATGAGTTAAGTTGATTGATCCTTCTTTTTAAAAGTGAAATATTTTCACCCCCTGGAGGTGTTTCATCAAACACTAATCCCATATTAACTGTGTGTTAAATCATACATCATTATTTTATGATGTTGCAATCTGTTCTTTGGAAACAAGCCAAGTAATCTGCGTGCCAGACCACTGACCACATGCCTATAGTTACATCCAAGCAAACCTCTATAGAAAAGCACCCGGTCTGTTTGTACTGTACTGTTTGGTTTACACAGAACAGAGCGACTCACATTCTGGCAGAACAGATGTGTCATAACTCAGTAAAAGGTTACACACACACAGAATGCTGATTCATAGATGAGAAAACTGCAGCTGATGATGAAGCCATGCGAGTATCTAGCTCCCTAATATTATCTCTAAAATACCACAGTTAGAGGCCATTTTTAAATTCTTAATATGACTGTACAGAGTTATACGTTTGGGCGGCTCGGAGATTACTTTGTATGAAAGTTCTCAACAGATTACAGTACATTTACATCAACTTTGGTATGTGTGGGTTTTAATCGGTGCTGGTGCATGGATGACATGTGCAGGGGTGGGAGTAGTAATGGATTACAAGTAACACACAAATAACTACTCATGTTCCTACTTTTAAACTGTACTGCAATTCTTTACTTGAGTCATTTTTGACCCAATAATGAATTTCTTTACTTTGCTACATTTGTCATTTATACCTTTGTTATAACTAGTCTGCTCTAAATGTGGGGGTTGAGTCCCAAGCGATGTACCTCTAATGCAGTTGCAGCTGCCTGGAGAAGAGCCTCGCTTCCAGAGACAATCTATGAGCACATCGGACCACACTTTTTTATACCAAAATCTATAAAAACAACAGTTACATGATGAAGTGCTCGCTGTGGTATTTCTTGCAGAAATCTCCACTTTTAAATATCCTTCTTCAAACCTCAGCGAGCACGCTGAAGTAATTTGCACATACTGTAGGTGAAAATGTTAGCCGTGTACATTTTTCATGTGTAACAGTTTCTTGGATGTTATGGTACTGACATTAACTTATCTTGTAGTTAGCAGTCTATTGGGTTTTCAATGTATGTGCTTTCAAAGCAGTACCTAATACTTAAAAACTTTAATAATAGCAGTAGCAATCACATTCCAACAAACACTAAAATGTGAAGTAACTTGTGCTTTAAATAATTTATTAATCAGGTACTATTTTTAGTTTACTTGAGTAGGTTTATGAACTGGTAATTTTCACTGTAACTGGAGGGATTTTTTATGAGAGTAATTGTACTTTCACTTGAGTATGGATTTTCGATACTCTGGCAACGTGTATATGAGAACTATACCACAGTTCAATAATATCTTTCTCACATCAGTAGGCTGAAACTTCAGTGAAACAAAACCTTGTTGCATCAGTTACTGGTTTCACTATTGTTGTGCTGGGCTTTAAGGCGAAGAAGTTATCCTCTGTTATTGGCTTTTCTGGTTTTTTGACTGCAATACAGTGTACTGTGGCTTCTTAAAGAAAGCAAGAAAATACAAGGATACACAGACATCGAGGTAAACAATGACTGTATGGCTTCTCACGCCTACACTGTCTGATTAAAGTGGCATGGCCTCTCAGGATCCTCCCAGCAATGTCGACTAAATGCTCTGCCAATCTGCAGTGAGAGGGCTGTTTTCTCAATGATGCATTCAGATTAAAAGGTGAAACTCAGGTATTGAGCCAGTAATAAACTCCATTGAAATGATCCATTGCAGCATGTTCTAATGAAAAACAACAGGCAGTTGAGCTTTTCACTAATGACCCGCCATTCTCACTATGTTAAAAATAACCAGTTACACTGATGAGGCCACTGATTGCATTAAATGGAACACATTTCCATGCCAACATACAGTATAGCCATCCAAGGTATTAATAGAAAGTCTGCCTCTTATAGAATTAAATGTCTCTGGGTACAATAGATTTAAGATAATAATAATAACAATAGATTCACTTAATGTTTCCTGTCTAATTATTACATAAGATTCTTTAGAATAAAACCATTTCTCCTCTTCCTATAGAAAGAACATGTGGCATAAGGATGAAGGTGTTCACAAAAGTGTTTCTCCACAGACAGATGGCTGGATTTACATCACAACAACAACAAAGCTGGACAAAACAACACCTTGTGTTGGACTTAAAGGCCCGGAAAACTGTTTTTCTCAACCAGCCTCTTCTTATGAGCCATGGGATCCTATATGATCACACTATTTTCTGCGAAAGTTAGAAAAGTTTAGGTTATTTCACATTAGAGGTTTTTGTATTACCTGTGCTGCTGTCATTGGTTTAAAGTGGGCGGCACTTCCACGCACCAATCGGGATTGAATCTGATGACACCACACTGTCCCCATTTTAAAGGTTATATTATGTTTGTATTCTATGTCTGTAGCCTTTATTTGTATTGTACAGATGGCTCTAAAGAAGTGTTACAAAAGAAACTTTACTTATTGTTTGAACCCATGTTAGCTTCTTTTAATATCTGTTAATGAAAGCAGAAAAGCAACTCATTAATGACTTAAGGAATTCATTAAACTGGCTCTGTGTTATTTTCTTTGAGGAGAATTTGGCATTTTCTTCCTACCCATTCTGTGATTGGTAAAAAATTTAGGAATTTAAAAGCATAAAGTCCTACTCGTTGGCAAGTCATTCAAGCTGTTGGCACCACAGGAGGCACAGAGTGCAAGCAAAACCAAGAACTCTGTAGCAACAACTCAACTGAACTGTTAATGATTAGTTAACATGAATGATCTATAAATAAAAAATCTGTGCAAGAAAAGATCTCAAAAATAGACTTGGCTGAGAAAGAGGCAATTATCACGATCACACTTTCACACTCAACCACATTTATCATTGCAAAAAGTTCTGCTCAGGAGTTTCTATTTGCACTCTTTCGGGATGACACTGCTCTTCACGCTAAAATTAATGCAAAGTTACGTGTGAGTATGAAAGAAAGCGCTTCTTTTACAAATCCTATTTACAAGTTTAGTTTCACTTATTCATAATTTTCAGCAAAACACATTCCCTTCAGCAGGATGAACCAGTGGACAGAGACGCCGCTTTAATTAGACACTAAAATCATGTCAAGTCTACACAGTTGTATTCATGGATCTGTATACTAACAGGGTTCAGCTACTATCCTCTGCCAAAAAGAATCTCTTCGATTTAATGACAAATCCGCTGAGCTCGGCCTCTTTTAACAACACCAGACAGTTTACCTTTTCTTTTGAAGGCCGGACTTATGAGCACCAGGGGCGTATTGACTTCTGGCTCCGAGGAGCCTCCGTGGCTGCCGGTCTCCGACATGCCGTGGTCTCCACACAGCACCAGCAGGTAGGGCAAGGATCCGTCTGCCTCCTGAGAGAAGCAAACACCAAGGTTAATGGACTCCCACTCTATGTGCTGATCTGGGAGGGCAAACCTCAAAAGCTCTGAGATGTGAATAATTCAAACTTGGCAACAAATGAAAAAAAACAAAAACATCCAGTTTGGAAAATAGAGAAATTGCTTTAAAATGACAGCTGCTGGGGTAATAGATTGTTTCACCACATAGTTTTTATGCCATTATATTGGAGAAGTTTTAATAGCAGCAAGAAAGGAAGGTATTAAATTATTACTTTTGAAAAGGAAGTCATGACAAATACTTCCTGGCACCGTTTCACTGCATCTCCAGACTAAAACAAATTGAGTAAAGGCAGCACACAAACACAGGATGAATCGTTTGTTGAGGATGACATACTTTGATCGAGCTTGGTTTCTTCCCTAAGTAATTCCCTTTCAACCAGACTCACGAGTACCTTCCATTGACAGTGTATTCAACAAGGATGCCTTATGAGTCACGGTAGTGGGGGCTGGTTTAAAAAACACGACTACAGATGTTAACAAAACAAAAGCCAAATCTTACCACACATTACAATACTCTCAAAAGACTCCTTAGTTCAGTGTTGTATCACACAAGAAGGAAAGACAAAAAATCAAAGACCAGAGACTTCATTTATTATTAAAGACGGAAAATTGTATCCTATCAACTACAGATTAACAGACAGCCTAAAAGACAGAAAAAGCAATGATTGCTGAAAGCTGAGATAAATTCTTCTTTTGAGTTTGGAACATTTGGAAACTAAGGCAGATAAAATGTTTCATCTAGGATGACTTTATCCGAATGGACACACAGAAAAGGCCAACGTCAGCATGAGCGTTTATTTTTTTTTATCCACAGCTATAGTAATGTATCGATCATACTTTTTTTTTGATATTGTGACATAAAAAAAGTGATGAATGCACTGAGGGAACGTTGCTGGTTGGAGCCTGAGCCAAACTGTGCCATTGTGCTCAGCTGACCCATTATATTTGCTACTCACTCAGCAAAGAAGGAGCAAAAGATTACCTTCTGTCCTAGATTTTACCTCTTGGATGCTTGTTATAAATGGCACTGGACACAAGGGATCCAAAGAAACACCTCAAGACCGGTACTAAACACCACTGAGCCCCACACTGAGCGAGCCTCTCCTCTATTTAGGATAAGTCAGAGTTTACTCCTGTTCTCGAGGATGAATGCACCGGGCCTCTGTTGGGAGACTTTTTTCACACTTCATAAGAAACCTTTTTAAAACTAATACACTAGGCACCATGCTGAATCAGATGATAACTCATGTTCTCCATGAGTAAGGCAGAAATAAAAAAAATGACTGAATAGCTTTTATGTCTATCTGGTGATATCAGTGATTCCCAACCAAGGTTACTTGTACCCCAGGGGGTATGCGGAAAGCTTAACTAATTAACTTAACTAAACTTGACTAAGAAACAGAAATTGTGATTTGAGTAACAAAATTATATCCACATGCACGCACCCGATGGGTTAACCTGGTAGAGCCCATACCATGTATCAAGTCCTTGGAGCGGCCCAGGTTTGATTTTAGCCGAGGACCTTTGCTGCATGTCATCCCTTCTCTAAAGGGAGGCAAAAGAACATCTGCTTACAAAATAGTTTCATGTTGATCTTTAGTAAACTTATAATAACCAGTAAGCTGGAGTTGGAGCTAATTTCTTCCCCTAACTTTCTTGGTGTGAAAGGCCAATTACTCAGGACATTTAGGAGAATATCCTCACACAATCACGCTAGATTGTGCCAAAAGTCACGTCATATTTGATTAATAAAAAATACATTAGGATTATTAAGGTAAGAGTGATGAATAAACTGTTAAGATAGTTACGTGAATGTAACAATAAACACCTTTATATAATTAATAGTGTTAATAGTGTTAATAGTGTTAATTATAGTGTAAGAAACTGACTGCTGTTGGTGCCAATGAAGGTTTACTTCTAATAGCTCATCGGATACAGTAGAGCTGTGGGGCTACATCAGACAAATAAAAAGGAACCACCGTGGTAAATTGTACATTAGTTGTAAAGAAAGTGCACTCAATAATAGGACGATATTAGGGTCTTCTGTGAGGACAGAATGCAACATTTCATTTATCTTGCTGATGAAATACAGGGCTCAGATTACACACTGCTCTGCAGGTCAGGTTTAAGAAGTTTTGCACTTCAAACAGAAAAAACCAGCAGAATAACCTTACAATCTGAAATATCCAGACGAGAAGATTGAGGCCATGTGATCTCCATTAACACAAAGGTCTTATGGAGGTCTTTATGACCACGAGGTGCTGCTTTCCAATCATGTTTTAATGGAGAGTGTTGCGACTACAGGTAGAGCATGTCTCTGCCCCTAATATGAGCTCGCTGAAATAGGCTACTCGCATCACATTACAACAGAACCTCTGAATGCTACCATGCTTTTCTCCTTCCCTGTGCTGCAGCAGGAGTCGTCATTTATTTTACTACTGAAGGAATCAGCAGCGAACAGCTAGCTCACGTGTGCAGTCAAACAGCCTGAAGTACAGCACCCAACATGTTAAAAGCATGTGTTGATCAGAGAAAACATAGTTGTTTTTGTAGAAGCTTCTAAAGGTATTCTGTGGGACGCCTCTGGGCTGTGTCTATTTTTAGGTCACGCAGCTGCGGTAGAAAAAGAACAGCCACAGCTTTCACTAATGTGACTGAAGCGAGACTTTCAAACACATTTCATTCAAAGAGCTCACTGGGAGCACGTACGAGGCCGCCATTGCCCAAAATCCACAGATGTCACCAGGAGCCTGCAGAGACAGGATTTAACAAGACAGAATTAACTACTTGGGGATGTGGTGAAATGTTGCATCAACATTTCCAGAAATACCCTTCGCTGTATCTTTTGCAAAGAGGAAAAGTTTACATGGATATCTGCATCTGGCTTCTGGTTCTCTCTCTCTGCCGTTTCAGAGATGCAAAAAGATGAGAAAAGCAAAGGAGATTGTAGGCTCGTGTTGACATGACTTGACAATCTAAATACAAGCTACACAGATGAATGACAGTGAGACAGTGCCCATTAACAACACACACACGGCACAAAGACAATATGCATGCACAGCTGTCAGACAGCACAGAGAAAACAAGGCGACTAGACCTGCACACTGATCAAAGACAAAATATAAGATAACAGAAAGGCTTAACAGTTTATTAAATCTCTGGGTTTGCTGCAACAGATAACATAATAACTGCTGGAAACACCACAAATGATCCGTGTAATTAAATGACCATCCAAAAAACTGATAATGCTAAAAATTCCCTGATAGCATCACATTAATATATTAACTATTGATCATTACTTCATATTTGCATATTTCTTTTCTCTCTTTTTTTTTACAATATAATGACGTTAACGATTATAATAATTCTTAAAATCTTTGGGGGAAAAAAGGTAAAATTGCTATTTAAAATTTGAAGTGTAATGTTGAAATTAATTAATCTTAATAGAGAGAAGCAGATGTTGACAAGCAACAATTAAATTAAGCAGCAGCACAGCCATGCAAAGTCACTCAGTCTAATTAACTTGAATTTAAAATTAGAAGCCAAACCAGTATCTCCAAACACAGTGAGTAAATAACAGGTAAGTTGCAGCTGTAACATTTAACATTTTCATGAAATTAAAACCTGTTTTTGATATTTTTTTATACTGACATTTAATGTACTTACATCCTCTAATTACCGCTCTATATAATAGTCTTCATTGTTAGTGGTGGAGCCCACTGTTCCTGTGGCTGGCTCAAATTGCCTCCTCCATAAGACGGATTTACAGGAAACAGTGGTTATAATATGAATTTCATGTATTTCACACCTTTTGATTTTGTTTCATTGAGGATAGCTCTGTCTGTTTTTATTAAGCTGCCTGTGATGATTATATGTGCTTTATTCTATTCTGTACATTTAATGTCAGTCAATCAAATATAAACACAGTGAGTGATTTTAAAGCTGCATGTGCCATTTTATATTTTTTTGCTTGAGTTTGAGATGATTCATTCTAACACACGTTGTCTTGCCAACATGGTAAACACCTTGTTTTTGAAAAGTGCTGTATAAATAAAGTTTATTATTAGATTATTTTTATCATGCTACCCTGACAACGCCAAGACATGTTACGCAGCCTATAATTGTGGGATGGGGCTTTTTATTTGACGTTTTTCCGCTGGTAGACCCCTGTTTAATGTCACAACGCTATGAACTGTGGGTAATTCTCTCAGGCAAAGTCTGCAGCAATGTGGGGTTACAGAACATGTGCATAAAGGGCTCAATATGTCTGCGGGAGAGCCCTAGTGGACCATTTGAGGGAAGCTGTGGCTCAGCAGGTCGGTCGGTAGGTCGTCCACTAATCAGAAGTTCGGCGATTCGAACCCCGGTTCCTCCCGCTGCATGTCGAAGTGTCCTTGATCAAATTGCTCCGGGTGTATGAACGTATGAGTGAGTTACTTTCTGTTTGTGATGGCGTTTCCCATCACTGTGTGAATGGGTGAATGTGGCATGTAGTGTAAAAGTGCTTTGAGTGGTCTCCGAAAGTGGACTAGAAATGACCGCCTATACAAGTACAGTCCATTTACCATTTACAATGGGACAGCCCTTGGGATGGGGCCAACATGTATGTCTGTGGGTGTGGTCTCCCTTTCTGTGTCTGCTCCTCTGCACACCTGTCTGCAACAGCTCATCCGCATTCCCAGTGGGCTCACCTGGCTCGCATCAGTTTGCACTGTGTCAAACTGTTTGTTCAACCTCAGTGGTATACGTTTCAGGCCAAACTTTAAAACGTTACTCTGGTGATTTAGCTTCCTTCTGTTTTCCCTGATCTAACGTGATTCTCTTTGTGTTCCCAGATCATCACTCACCTGCCAGTTTTCCTGTCGGTCTGCCTGCAACAATTTTATTCAACCCCGCTCATGCCAGCCACACTCCACCACCACCATCGTCGTCAACCTCTGCTGCCATTGGATCTTCCTTCCCTGCCACAAGCCCCCTCATCTCCTCTCCACACTACCTCCATTCTCTGGTACTACTGCAATAAATCTTTTAAACTTTATCTGCCTCCTTGTCTGTGTTCTGCGTCTGGGCACATTTTAACTGCGTAATATAATATGGCCATTATTTTCTCAATTAGTCTATTAAATGTCAGAAAATAGTGTAAATGCCCGTCACAATTTCCTAAAGTCCGAGGTGATTTCATCAATTTGCTTTTGTCCGACCAACACGTTGAAACTCAAAGATATTAAGTTTATTAAATTTACTGGGTTTTTTGCTTTAAAAATTAAACTTACATTTTTAAAATAGTAACACTTTTTTCCCCTGTACATCTACTTATCACTTAATTGAATAATCAACTAATAGTTTCATGAATGAATCCTCAAACAGATGCCTCTTTACACGTTGAGTAGACACACAGCAACATCAGCATTTCTGACCACCTGACAAAGGCTAATATTTACTCTTCTTTTAAGCTCTGTTTTGGCCTCCTGATTAGAGGAGTAGCCTCGCTTTGTAGCAGCTAAATGCTCCATTATGTCCAGCTAGTGACTAACACTGTCTGCTGTTTGGTGTTGGGCAGGTCGGGTACAGTCAGAGGATTTCTCCTGAAATCAGCAGCTACTTAAAACCAGGTCAATGAGCACAGTGAGACTAAATCACAACAGTAAAGTGTTGGGGGGTAAAACAAAGAGGCTAAAATGCTCTGTAGAGCTGAGAGAACCTGCACAGTCAGAAAGTCTCTGTGGGTCCATGAGTATGAGCGACCCCTTTCACATTACACTAAGTAAATTGACCCAGCGCAGCTTTAAAACTTTATATAAATTTCAAGAACTTCCTTGAAACTCCACAACAAATTTCACACTGAAAAAAATCTAAGAACAAATGCTGAAGCTTAACAACAACAGAACAAACAGATGCAACATGATGTAGAAAACAGAGGCCGGGGTAAGAAATTACCTTGGCAATGAGGGCACTGTGGATCTTCTTCAGGATGTCATCCATCTCCAGCAGTTTGGGCTGGATGAGGGAACTGTGGGGTCCACTGATATGACCGATGTGGTCGAGGCCTAGGTAGTGGAGGATCAAAATGTCCCAGTCATCTCTCTTTAGGGTGCTATCCAAGTGACGGGTCACATTGTTGTCAACCTACGTGGAGACATGATGCATAAAAGATACACATTTACTGATCTACAGGATTTCAACCGATAACCAATTTAGGTTCACATTATTCAAAATCTCCCCTAGAGCAAATAAAAACTGAGCCGAAAGCAGCTTTACCCAGAGCTGTGACAAACCTGATGATTGTCTGATTATCATCAGGCAAAGATTTTCTGGCAGATATTCACCTTCATCCCAAATTTCAGGTAAAGGGCTCAAAACTCTCCATCACCAATATTCCAATATAAACAAGAACAGATTGCATACAGTCCCACAGTAGATTGGTAGCTATGGCATATGGAGATAACTGATTAGCAGTCTCTGTGTGTCCCTGGTTGATCAGCCGCCTTCCTCTCTTTAATGCAGATCACTCGTAGAAAATGCAGTGACTGGATCATCTCCAGACATACATGTACACCATATTTGACAGAACATATATATAAAAAGACTGCTTAATTAACCATTACTACTCGAGTTGGGACCAATCCGACTGAATATCAGCATCAGCCAATACTGACATAATTCACTCGGTGGATTATGATGTCTCAGATCCTCACACCAATCCAGATTCCATAATCTGTTTTATGAATTATAAATATGTAATAATGCATTTTTAAACTCATAGCCAAAATGTTATATTAATTAATTGATTAGCGATTAGTGTTGTACAAAGATGTCCAGTAGTCCCCATATTTTGTCTCCCAGAATTCAGCTTGCACTGCATCATATACCTGCCGTAACGTTACATGAGACAGTCTGAAACTGTGTGAGCTAGTAACAGTCGGCTAAATCAACATGTCCCTATTTTTGGAGATATTTTAGTCTCGAAATGCCGGAAAGCAAGATAGCAATTTGCAATGAGTGTAAAGCCAACATTCAGAGGGGTGGAAGTTGTATCGGGTATCAGCAGATATCCAAATTCAGGTATCTGGAACTGGAAAAAATTGGATTGTGGATCTCTAATTATTACTTTATGAACAGTCTTTGCCGTATGCAGGGCCCAAAATGCTGGTAAATTTTGGGTTTGGTAGAAAAATAAACTAGGGTCACTAGAGGTGGTAAATAATTTCCGAGCTTAGGGCCGGGTTGTTTATAACGACAGGCTGAGAGTAGTGCAACCTTCACTGTCCATCAAAACATATCGTAACATCAGAGAATAAAGTCAAAGCAGCTTACTACTATTTCTACACAATGCCTGTTTATGTATTTGTTGTAAGAAACATCTGTGTTACATGTTATTAGAGTTAGTTAGTGTTAAGCCACCAAAAAGGAAACATAAAGATGAATACAAAAGTCCTGAAGGCCTCGAGATCCTGGCTAAAATATGAAGCTCAAAAGCTTCAGAAAGGCTCAAAACTTTCTCAAATAATGAATGATGTAGTTTTATGGCTAGAAAAAAATATATTTTTGGCTGGTAAGCTTTCATTGGCAGAGGAGCCAAAAAGTTAATTTTGGAACCTGACTGTATGTATTGGGTTATTGTATGATTTAAAATACTTTGATGTAGAGCAGCAGCAGTCTGGAGCAACTACAGTTATATTGTTGTATGATTCATATAGAAAAACAATTCAAGGTGCGCCATGAATAATCGAAGTGAGGACGGGAAGGTTTTTAGCAAAAATGTCATAATTATACAGGTGTTACTTCATCTTTCTTCTGTATCTTAATGACACTGACACATGGTTTCGATTAATCTTTCTATATTAAGCAAATATGGCATATTTAATGAAACAAATCACTTCATGCTGTAAAACTTTTTTGCCAGAACACATACTCAACCTTATGTATACCACAGTAAATATGGTTTCATAATTTCATCCAGAATTTCTTTATGTATCATTTTTAAAGATTCTGTATCATATCAGCCACCGGGTGCTTTAATTCTATATTGATGTTAGGCAGAAAAATACATCATAACAGTCAATCCCTCGGTGTTTAACTCATACATACCTCAGTGTAGTCAGATACAAAGAAAGAGGTCGTGCCATCGTACTCCATGAAGTGTTTGGGGAAGAGGCGCACCCAGGTGTCATCTCCGTAGAAGACGATCCTCTTCCCCGCTGTTTTGGCCTGCCAAATGAGGTTGTCTTCCAGCAGTGCAGGAGAATTCAGGTTCATTACCACATCAATGAAGCCTGGGATACTGCCAGTGGTAAGAGCCTGGGGAGGATGTTTTTGTCATTGTCCTTTGAACAATAATTGTCTTTTAACAGTGTTATACAACATTACAATTTCATCATATTAATCCAGCTGATTACAATTTGTGCTGCTGTACACTGTTCAGTTTTTACATATTAATAATCTTCAAATCAAACAATTTCCTTTTTATCCCAATCGATCTAGCATTGGTAGCCAAACTAATTCCCACATCCCCTAAACAATCTTGCTGCTACAAATGGAAACTGGATCAGGTAGATTGATGATATTTATGTAGTACAGTTTCTACTGATTTCATCATGGAATCAAAAATAAAACAACACTGGACTCCATTTGACTGACAAGGAAAACAGCCTATTTTGTAAGTCAGGAGAGGGTCTGGTGCATCGTCGAGGGGGAAGTACAAAGGCCTTGTCTTTATGCACTGAAGGAGACATGAGATTGTAGATACTGGCAGGAAACTGTGTTATTTAAACCCCCTATGAGCTGCCTGGAGCACAACCTGAGATCCTGCGGGACGCTCAGAAAATCCAGGCTAAAATCAGAGGTGACCAGCCTTATTGTGTGAGGGCCTCGGTGTTAGAGGAACTTGCAGAGGAAGCTCGGCTGGCAAATTCAAATTCATCTCTGAAATCACTTCTTAAAGCGCTATTTTATATGCTTTATTGTTAATGTATTTGTCTTTACATAACCCTGTTTCTCAGTTCACATCTGGGTATTTTGTTCAGCTTATCAGTTTTTATATAATCGTGTTTTTTTTGCTTGCATGGTTACTGTGAGTACCTGTTCTATAGCAACAATGTGACTTCTGCACAGACACGAGAGACAAATAGCAATAAACTAAAGACATCACAC